TGTCCAGCAGGGTTAGCGTTTAGAACGTTACAACAACGCAAAAAATATATATTTAAAACTGTTTTTTAAACACGATTTTATGAAATGTACTAAAAACTAAAACGGGGGGGGGGGGGGGGGTCAAAAATCGTCCAAAATCGCGTGACGTCATTTATGGATGGCCCCTAACTCGGGTCGTTGAATGTCGTTCACCCCACGTGCTGTCCACAGAATGAGCGAGGCCATGCGGAGGGGCCACGAGGTGGCGCCACGCGCCACGTGACGTCTCCAACATCAACTAGTCTCCAGCATCAACTTGTCAGCTATTTTGTATCGTGCCAGGCGAGGCACCACCGACCTATGACACGACCAGGCCACCACCAGTGATAGTTCGACGAAGTGGCTCGTCGTCTTCATCGCCATCATCGCGTGTGGAAATTGACAACAGCGGCCAAACAACTGAGACGCGCGTGGCGATGTGGATTCTAAATGTGGAGGTCCAAAAACCGGAGGGATCCCGGACAACAATCCACGCGACCACCGTGAGAGAGACGCCGCAACCTACAAATAGGCAGCATCATCAGCAGCAGCATCAGCAGCAGCAGGCGTCGTCAGGGCCCGGGGGGAACCCACGACCTCCTGTCTAGCTCGCTATGAAAATAAACTCACAGCTCAGTGGGCCTTGCCTGGTTGGGTAAAACTTGTAGTTATTTTCTATTTGTACAGATTGTGTTTAAAGTGATTTGTTTACCTGTCCTGTACTTTGCACTCCTGTCGTGTCTTTGTGTTTGTTGTTGTCACGTTCTGACCCCGTGCCCCTTACTGGACATCTGTGACAAGAGCTTCATAGCTCATCGGATTTCTCCTCCTGCAGTGGACACATTCTGGTTCTGACACGAGGCGACACGAGTTCACGTCTTGGCACCGTGGCACGCCGCACCAGGATAGAATGAATTCGCGACAATAAATGATCAATCATCTTAACCACATTCTGAATATCTGTGTCTGTGCGTTCGAGAATAGATCATGAAATGTTCAAGCTTTGGATCGTTAAAAAAAAACACTTCCATTCGCGTTCCTACGTTCCTTATATGGAAAAATCTGCGCCAAATGACTCGATATATGGGCCTAAAACATCATGTTCATTTTCGATTTAAAGCTTTCGTGACTGCAGGGATTCATCTTCTTGGTTCTTTCGGTAAAGTCACGTAGAAGGGAAGTAATAAAATAATAAAAATAAAACATAATAAAATATTATGTTTATTTTTATTAAAAACATAATAAATATTATGTTTTATTTTTATTATTTTATTACTTCCCTTCTACGTGACTTTACCGAAAGAACCAAGAAGATCATGTTCATTGTGCCGCAAATGAATTCTCTCCTGTTAGAGCGCCTCGGTCAATCACGCCCCGGCACGCTGCTGGGTCTGCTCCGTGACGTTGCTGCCTTCGGCACTTCCCGTGGTGGCCTCAACGTGCACCTAGCCTGGCACAGCCGCCGGGGTGACGTCACCTCACGTCGTGGCGAACGGCGCTCGTTGTTGTTGTTCTGAGCAAGGACTTTCACAAACGTGAAAATAAAGGCTTTGCCTTCTCCGGCAAGAACACAGCAGGTGTTAAGATGTTCAAACACACCCATTGCAAGGCGTCACCAAGTCTGCGCTAACCACACATCATGCTTGTGGAAAAATATGCAAACAAACACGTATTGATAATGTATAATAATGTATAATAACGTATAATAATGTATAATGTATACATTTCTTTGAAACTGAGTGGCCTACACCAGAGAAAGCTTTCTTTACGGCTTTGTTTCACCACCGGTGTTAGATGAGAGAACGCCAAAATGCTATTCGCCTTTTGGCAAGCATGTGGAGTTGATGCGGACTTAATGGCTTGCAATAGGCGTGTCTATTCGGTGTCTGGACATCTTCACACCTCGTGCATTACAAGGGTAAAGTCTATTCTTTTCGCATCGTCTTCATACCAGGAAAAAATGTTCCCGTAGATTCCACAAACCTCTTACTTTCCCTGCATGCATGAACCTGCACCGAGAGGCAGTAAGATAATCACGTGGATTAGACGGCAAGTGCGAATTCCAGACATCACATTCACGAATTCCAGACACCACATTCACGGTGAGCGGTAAGTGGGCCCGAGCAGGAAGCGCTGCTCGTGATGACCGCTGGATGAGCCTGACAATGGACTGGCAGCCAAAGGAGAGAGCGTGGTCCATGGAGGACCGTCGCCACGGAGACGGCGAGGTGGCCACGTGCCGCGATGGTGACGACTCGGTCGAGGCCTCCATCCAGCAGTGGATTGTGCACGAACGTTCGCGAGCGGAGGCCGAACGCCGTGGCCCGACTTGTGGTGAACATGCAACGTCAACGCTGAGCAGCAACCACGACGCAGGAGCCAAAGTGCTGTACGTGAGATTATTACATTTTATTTCCTCCAGTGCGGTACAATACTTTGCTTACAGACACAGTCAGTAATTGTCTCTGCTTGTCGACAACATATTTAAAGTGAACTAGCCCATGGAATAAAAAAAAAGAGAAGAAAAATAAACTCAAAATATACAGATAGAACATGAGCAATATGTACAACAAGTCGACCAAAGAAGGGGGTTAGCAGGGGTTTACTCGGACAACTTACACTACAAGAACTAACATGGCATTTTGTGCATCATCCGTTACCATCAATTACTTGTATCAATAGATGTGTGTGTGTGTGATGTACTAGACTGTTGGGGCAAGTGCTTTTAGCGTGCAGCCGTGCACCTATGAAAGCCAGCACGATACACGAGGGGGTGGATGGCCAGAACCACGCCCGACCGCCTTTGTCTCCCCAGTGGCGATTTTTACACACCGCAACAGGTACTGATTTGAGGCCGAGTCTACCTAGGGGAGGCCCATAACCGGTTCAAATAATCATCACTGGTGTTGGACGTGAGCGGGAATCGATCTCGGGTCGCCGGATTCACAGCGCAGCAGCGCTAACCACTACACTACCGCTCCCCACTACCGGTTTGTGCTAACAGCACTTACCCCAACAGTCTGCTGCACTGCAGAAGCTACATTCCCATTCTAGCTGGAGCCCCACACACCTGCGGTGATGGAGGTGCGACCTTTGCCGGTGCCTTTTCCACGATTTGCAGGCGCACTGCGCTCTCGGCATCATCGTCGCGAGTCGGATCCTCTCGGGAATCTCCCCGCAGAGCAGTGAATCACCCCGTGTTAGAGAACGGTCCGCGGAAGCGGGTATCACAAAACTACTCCCGATATACTTTCAAAGTGACCTCTTATGAAATCTTCCGCTTGCCCTGCTCCGTATGTGTTTCATTCTCAGAGTTGGAATTTACCCTCATTATATGGAAACCATTTCTTTCAATTGGATTGGAATTTTGTTTTGTGTATACAAATGGTGACCGGTCCGAGACTTGATGACTATGTTCAACCACGGGCAGCCGCCTGGATTCGTCCTGCGGATCTCAGCAGTGACAGTTCACTCCTCTGACCTCTGAACCACCCAGTCACCTCCACATTGCTGTGACTCTTTTAGGGGCACCGCAGTGGTGGCATCTCCTCTCCCTCGCCTGGTATGGACGAGGTCGTCACCCCATGTGTCACCAGGCCACCCCACGTGTCACCCCACGTGTCACCAGGTCACCCCACGTGTCACCAGGCCACCCCACGTGCCACCCCACGTGTCACCATGTCACCCCACGTGTCACCAGGTCACCCACGTGTCACCAGGTCACCCACGTGTCACCATGTCACCCCACGTGTCACCCCACGTGTCACCATGTCACCCCACGTGTCACCAGGTCACCCCACGTGTCACCCCACGTGTCACCAGGTCACCCCACGCTCGTGTAATGCCTTGAACTTCTGCACGCGTCGCAATCATTTGGATACTTAGAATAATGCTTACACATCTAACGACAAAATAACGCTCCGTGTTTTGGCTTTTTGTTAATGTAGTGCTATGTCATTTACACATTCACATATATATATGCACACGATACACAAAAATACATAGGACACTGAATAATAAAAATATAAAATATTCATTGTTTTTTTCTTTCTCTCTGCTTTGAACATTAAATACACGCCATGGGGGTGGTGGGTGATATGTTTAGTACAAAAAATAAAGGGGAGTTCTGTTTAAACTTAAATCCAGAGGTGGTTTGTGTCGAGTGGAGGGGTCTACGTACAACACGGTCAATGCCTCGGTGTGACGCCATTCGCGTTCATTGCATCCTGCAAATGATAGAATCGTGACGACACTGCCTCTCGTTGACGCGGTCAAACTCCTGAAATGCGGCATCGCGTGGCGCTCGATTGATCGAATTGTCGTAGAGACTGAGCACGCTCCGAGTGCACGCAAGCCACCCCGAGGGTACACGGCGAGGCTGGGCGACTGCCCTGGGCCCCGCACTTTAGGGGGGCCCCCCACGCACTTCGTTGTCATCAGATGTAATACTTCCGGTTTAGTTAGAAGGGTTCGGGGAGGGGGGCATATGGGGGGATTTGCCACGGGGCCTGCACCCACCCCCCCCCTGCTATTGACGACCCTGAGTACAGTACAACATGAGGATATTGCACCGTTTCACTAAGGGTTGCCACCACTGCGATACAAAATTGGGGACGCATCGTGGGAAGACGAATATCTCACAGTGCATGTACGTTGAACTTCTTCCGCGCCGTACGTAGCCAACCGTGCTAACCGACGAGAGGGGAGAAGTTCATGAAACTCGGCGTCGTTCTTCACTGGGAGGCCACCGCGGGGCCACTGGCGGTCCCTGGCGGCCTTCAGTGCGGCCCCTGACGTGCAGGCCCCCGACAAGACACACAGAGTGGCAACATCCCCCCCCATCGTCATCATCATCGTGCTGCTCTCAAACCCCCAATGGTTTCAAATGCGTGGCGGCCCCCCCTCACAACGCTGATGTCTTATCGGCGACAATCCCCCACCCCCCACCCCCCTCTGAAAATGAGTGACGAACACTGGTGCACATCAATTGGTATTGTTACACATTCCTAGGATGGCTATGGAAAAAACAAGACGTTTCTGGGCAGACCAGGACGGGTGGCAAACCTCGTGCCGCACCCTCGAGGTGAGCGGTGCCCCCCGGGGGCTATTGCGCAGCGCTCGCTACGCACAGCCCCTGAGCACCGCCGCGCGCTGTTTGGCAAAGTGTGTGTTTGGAACGCGAGGATGACACATTCCTGGTGTCCGCAGTGGGGCCATTCTGCAACTTCTTCCGCAGCACCAACCGCGCTAATCGGAGGTGCGGTGGGGAAGGACGGCAAACTAAACACGGTTAAGCAGCTCTCAGGGAATGGGTTTTCAACGCAGAAAAATTCCCTTGCTCATGCACTTGAGTGCTTGTTTCCTGTGCGGATAAATGCCGTGGGGCTTTTAGGTTTAACGCCTATATCAATTAAAACTCAGTAAAAAAATATTTAAACTTGAAATGACGTCACCTACGGCCGTGATGTTTAGTAACGCACATTGCCGCTCTCGTTGTCTGGCTTCCCTTAGTCGATTCCTGTGCAAACAATGCTTCCTGCAGTTGACATTGGTTCACGACGAACCACGATGAGAGGAAAAGTCATCTCATACAGACCCGAGCCGCGGTGGCGAGATGTTAACGACCTCCCCTGGTACAGAGGAGGTCGTGGGTTCGATTCCGATCCTGATGCCTTTATATTTGGAGTTTGCATGTCCCTCTCCCCGTGGTCGCGTGGATTTTTCTCCACAGTCCTCCGGTGTTTCCCTCTACATTTAGAATCAACGTGCGTTCATAGTGTTTGGCTGCTACTATACATTTCCACGTGAAAAGCCATTCCGTTGAGCTATCATTTTCGTGCCAGGTCGCTTCTGAACAAGAGCCATAGAGCTCAGTAGCGGGCCTTACCTCGTAAAATAAAAATAAACTGTTTCGTTCAATTTCCTCCTCCCTCATTGCGACGTTCCTGCTTGACAGCAAATGCATGTTTGTCCTCTCACCTTCGCTGCATCTCGCAAGGGCATGACAGAGCCTAAAATAAGCGGGCAAACTCTGGTCGTAAATCCCGAAATTAACTTTTTACTTCGCATTAAAATACGGAGCCCGAACAGCGTGGCTGCCCGGGTTTGGTTTACGAGACGTTCCTCGTAGTAAATGTGAATAACTGCCCGAGGTGGGAAGCGGATTTTCTCCGAAGGCCGAGCACAGACAATCAAGGAGCCCTTGAGAAGACTACAACATATGTTTACGTGCGCACGGTAATTGACAACGGCCTATGTTTGAGGTTGGGTTTTTTTCTTTCTCCTAAGTCTTCGAGGGTTGTTGTCCATCACGATCTTTAGGAGCATCACAAAGCCACACAACACCCACCCACTGCACGTAGCGCCTCATCGATAATTGTCGTGCAAGTTGAAGCTTCGCAAAGCGTGTCCGCAGGACTCTCAGCACACTTTGCATGGCAAGAAGACGTCGCCTTTTCTCTCGCGTCCCCCGCGCACAGCCTCGTGATGTGTTGTTCAACCCTTTCCCGTCCCGATGACGTACGTGTACGTACGTGTACGTCATCCGTTTTTCTTCCAATTCCGTCCCGATGACGTGCGTGTATGTCATCGGGACGGACGTGTACGTCATCAAAAAGAAAACCGGATGAAAAACTACAACGAAATAACTTTATCAGTACCGAGGCTCCCCACAAGGCCACGCTGGGGGGAGGGCGTGTGGCACAGGTTGGCCCCGGCTGCCATAGAGTGGCGGCGGTCGTGTCACTACGGTTCTCTGCGGTGAGTAACGACGTCCTTAAAAACGACGGCGCTACTACGCCTCTCTTAATAATAATGTAATGCTGAGCCGTTTTCCTCCTGCCGCCTGCCATTTGCGCCCGAGCGACTTTGCGCTGCCCAACCCTTCTCAAGGCTGCGTGCGGAGCGCTTGCAACCGCCTCGACGTCATCTGGACATGCGAAGCATGCTGGGGATGCCTGTTATGTTTAGCTATTGAAGATTCCCGTTTTTGTTGTTTGCTGCCTACCACTGAATATCATCGTCGCGTTTTCTGACCCTGCATGCTTCTGTATATGGCTGCTAACCACCCGTCCACTACTCGAGGATATTGGTGATAAAATAGCTTCGTAGCTCATCGGATTCCTGCTGCTGCTGTAGTCTAAATAAAGATTCTGATTGATCCTGACTCGCTTCTCTGTCTGGACCAGGGGGTCAGCAGCCTGCGGCTCTGGAGCTGCACGCGGCTCCTTAAGAGGGCCGTTAATGAAGGAGCGCCACCGTCTCATGTTCATCCACATTGCATTGCGGCTCTTTAAATATTGAGTTGTTTGTTCACTTTACGAATTCGAGACGAATGTCTCCCCTTGTTCCCTGCTCTGGACAGAGTGCCGGCATGCAGTCGGCGCCCTGACCTGTTCCGTGGACCGAGAGGGCAGCTGAGGCAGCGGCCAGCCGGTGCTTGGCTGAGGCCTGCACGTTCCAAGGCCCCCTGTCTCTCCGTCTCTCTCTGTCTGTCTGTCCTCCACATTGCTGCATTGCACACGTGCCTACTCACGCTCGCCCACGCGTGGGATCGAGCCTCTTGCGAGAGAAAAAACCGCGGTTGGCAATTGACCCCTCGCTATCTGCGAGGAGAGACACAGCAAGACGATGCAAATGCCACCACGTATGTTTTAACGCTTACTAAAAATACACTTTTTCAGAAGCGACCTGGCCATTACAAATTATAGATCAACGAAGCGGCTTATCGTCACGTGTAAATTTATAGCAGCCGAAATCTCTCAATGCACATTGATTCTAAATGTGGAGAGAAAAATCTCAGGACACGCTGACTCCAAATATACAGTAGGCATCAGGGTCGTAATGGAACCGACGACCTCCTGTATATCAGGAGAGGTAGTTAACATCTCGCCGCCGTGACGCCCCATGCATGCCGTCAACGCGAAGGGAGCTTGCTCCTGTCGACGCGTCACGCCTGGGCCACGCCGCGTGAGTGCGCGTGTGCGTGGCCAAGCGGCTGCCCACCGGATTGCGAGTCCCGTGTGACCATGAACACCGCCGTGTCAGCCTCCACGAAGAATCCAAATCGGTTTCATCCGCAAAAAAATCCGATGAGCTACGAAGCTCGTGGGACCGCTCGCAATTGCCAAGCGAGCCTCCGCTCAGAGCGCGGTGTCCTCAACTTTGGCGGGCCCCAGCAGGGCGGCTTTCCTCCTCTCCACGCCCTCCAGGATCTTCTTGCGGGGACCGAGCGGCAGGTTGATGCTCTTGAGCTCCTCGTCCGAGCACAGGGTGAGCGCCTCCAGGTCGATGTGCTCCTGCCTGAACAGGGACGCGAACTCGCTCATGTGCAGCGAGGCGAGGAAGCTCTCGAGCGGCGTCGTCTCCGTGGTGTCCGGGTCGTCCAGCGCCACGTCCTCGTCGTCCCATGGCAGCTCCTCCGTGCTCCTCTCGCGCAGGCTCCCGGCGCTGCCGATGCTCTCGTTGGCGCTCGCCGAGCGCGCCGGATTTCCCTTCGGCTCGACGCCGACGCCGGGGCCGCTGGAGCTCCGGCGGCGGAGCTCCTCCCCGTCGCGTTCGGCGCCGATGTCGAAGAGGCCGCCCGTCACGTAGTTCCTGCGGAAGACCATGGTGCCCAGGCCGGGCCGGTTGAACAGCGAGTCGTGGCCCGAGTCGTTGCTCGCCTCCGAGTTGACGCCCGACTCCGTGTACACGTCCGAGGCGCTGTCCGCGCGGAACATGTCTCGCACGTGCCGGCGCGGCGCGTCCTTGGGCTGCAGCGGCGCCGGGTAGGTGCCCTGCTTGACGATCATCACCTCGTTGCCCAGCTGCAGGCCCGAGAGCGAGCGCACGCTCTTGCGGCCGTCCGCGTAGATCTTGAACTGCCCGTCCAGCTGCTTCTTCTTCTCCACCTTCTTCTGCATCCTGGTCTTGCCCTTGGCCGTGGCGTTGGGCCCCACGGTCGCGGGGAACGGCAGCGAGGAGACGGTGCCCGCCTGGCTCGCCCTGCGGCTCGCCGAGCTGCCCGAGAAGCTGGAGAAGCTGGTGGCGTCCGTCGAGTCGGCGGGCGCCTCCTTGCGGTGCTTGCGCTCCATGCGCTCGTGGTGCTTGCGCTGCAGCTTGGCGCACTCCTTGATCCTCTTCTCGGCCTCCTTGAAGGCGCGCTCCTTCAGCTTGGAGACCATCTTGGGGTTGAGGCTCGTCTGCTTCGCCGCGATCGAGTCGAGGTAGCGCACGCATTCCATGTGGCCCTTCATGGCGGCCATCTCCAGCGGGGTGTGGTAGTCGTTGTCCAGGCACCAGACGTTGGCCCCGAAGGAGATGAGGAAGGTGAGGCAGTCGAGGTGGCCGTTGGCCCCGGCCAGGTGCAGGGGCGTGTTCCCCCAAATGTCGCATTTGTCCGGGTCGCCCCTGCGCGGACAACGGAAGGGAGGGAATGTTGTACGAGGACGTAGCAGAATATACGAGCGACGTGTTACAGGGAACGCGTAAAATGAACGTACAGGCAAAGTCTCCCCTTCCCCCGCCGCCGCCGAACGTGGGGGTTAAGTTCCTGGAAAATGCCGCGTTGGGGAAAACCGCGTTGGACAAATAATAGACCTGGTGGGAAAATTAGGATTCCTGGGTCCGAGCTGCTCACCCCCTCCCTGTTTGTTGAACTAATTCTACACGAGGAATTGTTCTCACTGATGCTGAGTCGCTCTCCATCTCTTGTGCGCACACTCCTTATTTTTCAATTTCACCTCGACGCAAATCGCCAGTCCCCAGAATTCCCAGCCCAACGCTCGCCTCTGACACTGTCACGCGAACCTCGATGGTTCGCCCTCTCGACTCACGTTCTCAACGAGGTGCACATGGCAATGCGTGTGAATGCACCGTGTGCGTTGGGTGTGCGACATTATCACACGGGGGAAAAAAAGTAACAAAAACACACACACACTCACATACGTGGTAAATGAATCATAGATACCTCTTGCGATGGATCAAGTCTGTGTGGTTAAATGCAGACTTGATTACTTGCAAAAGTGTATCTATTTCCAGAAAGGCTAAAACCTATTCTTATTTTTTCATACTTTGATACTGACAAAACATGTCCCGCAGATATAACTCCTGAACCCGAGCTGTGAGGTTTCTGAAACTTGCATTGTCTCTGTGTTGTTCGCAGTTTGGCGCTCTCTGGCGTAGGACAATCAGTGTCAAAGACAATGCTCACACTATTATCCGAGCACGTTTTTTTGCATGTTTCGCCACAAGTACGTGTGGTGAATACGGACTCGATTCACCGCAAAAAGGTGTCTATTTGGTCTTAGAGCTTCTTCACACCTCTTGTTTGATTGTCAGAAAGGGTAAAACCTGCTCTGATATTTTTCATACTTTGATGCCAGCCAAACAAAGAAAGGTCCCATAGACGTAGGGCAGTCTCGCAGAATACGCCGGAAACCACGTGTGCATGTTGAACTTCGTTTGCACCGCACGTGGTTCCACCCGCATGCGCGTGGAACCACGTGTTGGACTTCGGTCAAGATGCATTTCACAGCCGTGGTTAGTAGAGAGGCCGCGGTGAGTGACTCGGTGAGTGACCTGGTGAGTGACGTCACTCGGGTGAGTGACAACTCCGATGAGTGACAACTCTGGTGAGTGACGTCACTCCGGTGAGTGACAACTCTGGTGAGTGACGTGACTCTGGTGAGTGACGTCACTCTGGTGAGTGACAACTCTGGTGAGTGACGTCACTCTGGTGAGTGAGAACTCCGCGTTGCTCGGTCCCCTCGTGTTCGACGCAGTTATCCACGCGCATGGGGACGCAGGCCGCAGCGTTCTCAACTCCAGTCCAACTTTGGGACTCTTGCCGCCAGAGACTGGCACGCGCCGAAAACAGCTGCGGACATCAACAACAACAACGGGGTTCACATACCCCATCTCGTGTGCTGTTGGGTTTTACGCAACGGTAAAAAAATAAAACAGTAAGAAAAAAATTATAACGAAAATTAATTTTTTTTTAAATTGTTTAAAAAAAGTCACGATTTTTTTTACAAAATTGTAAAGAAATTGGTAACAAATTGAAAATGAATATTACATCAAAAATGATAGTAAAAAATAAAAGAAAAAAGACCCAATTCGAGTGCCGTTCGTCTTAATGCGTCTCATGCTTCATTGCACGAATTGAATTTGTTGTCATTTAGTGGTGAGAGTCATAAAGGTCAGGAGGCAATTTTGAGTGACAATAAAACATCTCCCAATTTGCCCCCCCCCCCCCCCCGAGGATTAGTTTACAAGCGGACATTTGGTTTGTTAATGGCTTTAAGGTCAACGTAAAAAAATAATATATTGAACTGTCAACGATTCCGAAATTGGCTGTTTTTACGACCATCCAATGGGTTCACGGCGGTCGGTCTCCACCAAAGACCCTGGACGGTGACCCCACTGCCAACCAGAGCAAACGCTTCAGGTCCCAAGCAGCTTCAAAGGGGCCCTGGATTCATGATTTAAAAACAACCACACAGCACAAGGGTGTGGGGCGTGGGGGGGGGTTATTTTTTATAATAGGGGTTTTCCCCTATATTTTGATAATAATAGGGCTTTTCCCTTTTTTTCTGGCAACAAAACTGAAACCGTTTTACAAGGATTCATGTCTGCATTAACCACAATACTTGCAGTCAAAATGCAAACAAAAAACACACCATGATAATATATGCATTGTCCTTGAAACTGATTTTTGTTTACATTTTGACTGTAAGTATTGTGGTTAATGCAGACATGAATCCTTGTAAAAATGTTTCAGTTTTGCTGCCAAAAAAGTGGAAAAACCCCATTATAAAATGTTGGTACTGGCAAAGGAGGTCTAATGATGGGTATATTTTCGCTTACTGGTTCTATTTCTCGGCTTTGTTGTGCCTGACTTAATCAATTCCCCAGTGGGTATTTATTGCCTCGACTTGGAAGCCCGAAGGCCCGGGGGTTCTGTTGCCTTCTCGACAGCGTCAGCTTGCGGAGTTTACGATCAGTAAAAGTTTATTTTAGCAGGAGGACCGAGGGAAGGTTGTCTCCCTCCTGGTTGACTGCAAGCGTCTCACCGATTTCAGCCTGTGAAGTCCCGGGGTTCAACCTTCCACGGGGGAAAAAACTAAAGACAACCCTCGCCCACCTGAGGGTCAGGCCACGGGGCTAGATGTTGACTACCTCGCCTGGTATGCAGGAAGTCGTGGGTTCGGTCCCGACCCTGACGCCTGCTGCTGTGTATTTGTGTGGATTTTTCTCCGGGTCCCCCGGGTTTTCCCTCCACATTTATAAACAACAGCGTCACGCTTTTAGAGTATTTGGCTGCTGCTATAAATGTCCACGTGATGATGATAAGCCACTTCGTTGAGCTCTCATTTGTGATAGCCAGGTCGCTTCTGATCAAATAACTATATAGCTCAGGGGACCTTACCTGGTAAAAATAAAAATAAATAGTTTAGTTTAAATGTTTGCAGACACTTGCCCCACAGAAAGACCGCGAGAAGCACCCCAAATTGTGACTACGGCCACCACCCAAGTCAGACGATGGCCCCATTCTACCGAACTCCTGCCCCTGAGAGATGCATTCGTGGGGGCATAGCGACCCCACTCACTCTGCCTCCTCGCATGAAAGCCGTTGAAGGGATTGCGAACCTTGACATCAATCTGCAGCCGCTTCTCCAGCCGTACGAGGAGGAGGAGGAGGGAGAAGTCGACCACCAAACATCAGCTCCAAATCCAAATCCATTTATCTTCCCTACATCGCTCTTCTCATTTCACCCCAGTTACGCCTCGTTTTTGGCTACATGTATTCGTCTTATCTCACTACATGTGTATCTCTCGTTAACATCTCTTCTGCCATCACCGCTGGGAAGGGGGGAGCGAGGGGTGTAGGGGCTTGGGGATTGAGGGCTCCCAGGGGGGCCCGCACCACAGCACTCGACAAAGTCGCCCTCGTCACACACAAAGCGCTCGTTACAAACGAACCACAATCTGTCGCTGATCTCGTCAAGGAGCGTAAAGCATCATCACGCGAACGACGCTCATCCTCGAAGCAGCAGCGGCAGCCGCTTTTGGCTCAGCCATCGAACAAAGGCGGTGGTCACCGCATCATCGCGCGCTTTCAGATGCGCTTCTGTGGCCGTCTGGAACGCTCTTCCTTCCGATATTAGGAAGCTACTGGAGCTATGCACGTTTACATCATCTACATTAACAAACTCATTTCTTTAGAACTGATTTTTGTGTTAATTTGTTGTCCTTCCCCCGGCACCTCCGATTATAACGCTTGGCCTACGTATGGTGCGAAAGAAGTTCAACGTACGTACACACATACACACAGGATGTCACACTGTGCATTGAAAGGGATGCGGGAGAGGAAGGGGCTTAGGGATTTAAGTCCCTGCGTTTGACCTTCCACGAAGCTCGTGGTCCACCCTCAACCGCATCCACTGCACAAACCATGGCAGTAGATGCGGGTTGCCTGATGATGCACAAATGGGAAATTAAAACCCTCCAGCAGTAGAAGCGTGCGACCGTGGTCATCCAGAACAGAGACCGTGCAACGTGTAACGACGCAACGCCCCGATCCGCAAATCCGAAGGGGACACCACAGCGACGATTCACTACTCCGCTGCTGCTCCTGACGCGGCTGCCTGGGCTTGACCACCTATACGTGGCATTGCAGTCCGTCGCTCTGCGCCCACATCAGCAGCAGCCGCACCGCAACAAGAAGTAGAATAAGGGGTTTAGCGCTGCGAGTGAGGCCAGCACCACAGCACTCAGACTGGGCCACACGCGCCACTTCTGTAAAACTGCACTGTCCCCCACGCTCGCCCACTGAAAAGCCAGGAGTTTGTTTTCGTGGGTTATCAATTACGAGCTCATTCATTTTTAACGTGCGGGACCCGCCGGGTGCACGGGGGGGCGGGAGAGGTGGCAAGCGTTCACCGCGGCCAACCAGGCCTCCCAGGAAAGAAACGTGATCGCCTCTTCAATGGTTCAATTTACACTTCAACGGAGGAGGCTTTTGGGACTTGCAAATTAAAACTAAGATAAACTACTGCTATAATTTAGTTGTTGTGTACCAGGTCAGGCCCTCCACTGAGCTATACGGCTCCTATTCCAGAAGCGAACCCGGGCTGATCACAAATGATGGCTCGGCGATGATCGCGGCTTGATCGTCGCGTGGAGATTCGTGGGCGGCAGCCGGATACTCCAAAGGCGTGGATGTTGTCTCTAAAATGGGATCTGGTAGGAGGGCAAACAACAAAAACCTGGTAGTTAATGGCCCCACGCACTGCTGGGGGAGGCGCTTGGGGTGGTTGTGTGTGACTACGCTGGCGGCGTGAATGTTTTATGCTGCATTTTAATTTTTCGGTGTCGCCGTCTCGCGCCCGGGACATCATTGAGGGATT